TCCGAACTTAAGTCACATCCGAACCGTTATTTTACATTTTTACAAACCCCCCTGACCTTTTAGGTAATTCATCTGCGGATCATATTTAAGTCAAACAAATGCTTTTCTAAATCATCCATATCTTTCAAACCGTAACTCTGATTTGAACATGTTATATATGAAATTTGATTAGAAGCATATGTAGAATATGAATATGAGATTATTTTTACCTGTTAAGTATTTTTAAATATTATATGATTTTGGAAGATATTTAAGTCAAACAAATGATTTTCTAAATTATCCGTATCTTTTAAACCGTAACTCCGATTTTAACATGTTATATATGAAATTTGATTAGAAAAATATGTGGAATCTGAATATGATGTTAATTTTATCCGTTAAATATTTTTAAATATTGTTTTGGAAGCAAACTTATAATCTATAGTGCATGATCCGTTTTTCTTTCGTACCGGCGGCGATCCGGATTGCAAATAAACACCCACTATAATCATATGGGAAAAAAACATCGACAACTACACATGCATACCTCTGAAAAACGTCGCAGATGAAAATAACAAATTTCTCATCGCGAGAGTGAGAGAAAAGCGAGAGAGAGGGAGAGGGAGAGAGACGCCTTAGGATTAACCATGTTCAAACACATTTTGATTTGTGTGAACACTGATGCCACCACCGACGAGGGTGAGAAGGAGGGTAAGAGGCAACACAAATATGATGCCTCGCTAAAATAAATGAAATGGACCTACTGTTGTCTTAAGTGATGATTGTGGGGTTAAGAACATGTGTTATTTTTTCTCCCGTTGCAACACAAGGCCTCTTTTGCTAGTAAGTTCTAAAATATTTTAAATTGTTTGAGATTTTGAAAAATCTTTCAAAATTCAGAAAATGTTCAAAATTTCAATAAATAGCCAGAATTGCAAAACTAGTTCACGATTTCAGAAAATGTTCATGTTTTTAAGAAACATGTTTGGGAAATAAAAATGTTCATGATTTTGGGAAAATATTTGGGAAATAAAATAATGTTTACAGATTAAAAAGATGTTCGTGATTTTCAAAGAAAGTTTGTGAGAAAATATTCGTGGGTTTTAAACATGTTTGTGAATTCAAAAAATGTTCTTGATTTTGAAAACATGTCCAGGAAATCATAATTTGTTCGCTGATTGAAGAAATGTTTGTTATTTTTGAAAAAATGTACGTGTATTTAAAAAATTTCTTGTGATTTTTGAAGAATGTTCAGAAAATCATTTTTTCCACGAATTCAAAGATTTCTTACATGATTTTCGAAAAATGTTGACATATTCAATTTTTTCTTAAATTCAAAACATGTTCAGGATTGAAAAAATAAATAGGAAGCAAAATAAATGTAGAAGGAAAAATGAAAGAACAGGAAAAAGTAAATAAAGGTAAAATAAAAGAAATAAAAAACAAAGAAAAGTAGCGGTTCAGGGAAGGTTCTACCCACTCCATCCCATAATGTAAGACATTTTACATCTCCCAAAAATGGTGGAAAACCCCAAAATGAGCCGGCCCAAACAGCATCGGTAGCGAGGGTATGCGTGGAATAGGATCCGCGAGCAGATGAAGGGGCCCATATCCCCGCGCGTGCTCGGCGCCGGCATCCTCTCTCATCTCCGGCCGGCTCCCCTCACCGGCCGCCGCCACCGCCTACTCGCCGTCCCTTCTCATCAGCGGATCAAGCAGAGGTAGCAGCAGCGCCACCCCTCGCTCCTCGGCTCGCACCCAATCCCCCCCGCCGCAACCCTAACCCTCCCCAATCGGCCGCCGCCGACATGTGTCCGCCGGAACCCAGCTGCCACTCGGCGCTGCTCGTCGACCTCGTCGTCAACGAAATCCTCATCCGCTGCCCGCCGGACGAGCCGGAGCGCCTCGCCCGCGCCTCCCTCGTGTGCAAGGAGTGGCACCGCGTCCTGGACGACCCCGACTTCCGCCGCCGCTACGGCGAGTTCCACCGGAGGGCGCCCCTGCTGGGATTGCTCCACGACTACGGCGTCCTCTCTGATCACCCCATCATCCAGTCCAGATTTGTGCCCACCACGGCCTTCTCCACGCGGACGCCCCTGCACCGCAGGTTCCTGCTCGACTCACGCCACGGTCGCGCCCTCTATGGAACCTACGTCCCGCCGCGAGCCTGCTTGGGCCAAGGTGGACGACAAGGACCCCATCACCGACGCCGGCCGAGTGGAGGGTTCCGTTTCCCACCAGCACCAAGAGCTTGCTCTCTGGCGGCTGGAATGCAGCAGTGCTCTGCGCCGCAGACGGCTGCGACCACGCCGTTGGTTGCCGGAGCAGCCCCTTCCTCATTGCCGTCATAGGCTTGGACTTCCATTGGCGGCGCACGTTCGCCTGCCTCTACTCGTCGGAGGCAGGCACCTGGAGCCACTTCAGCTGCTTTGAGCACCCGGGCACTGTAGTCGTTGGCCGGGGCCGGGCCAGCATCGTTTTGCAGAATGCAATATATTTTCCCTGCAATATATATAGGTTCTGGAATCATGCAGTACAATGTGGCCGAGCTGGAGCTGTCATGGATCAACGCGCCTTCTGAATTACCCAAACGCAGTGACTTTTGCCTTGTCAAGACAGAAGATGGCAACCTGGGGTTTGTCAGCTACGACGCCGGTGGCCGTATGTACATGTGGAAAAGGGTATTTGATGCCAACGGAGCTGGGGAATGGGCTCAACGCAGTGCCATCAGTGAGCTGCTCCCTACTCGTGCCCTACCACCTTACCGCCGATTCATGGACGGTGCCAGAGTCGCTCTGTTCAGAACATGCTCTGAATTGCTTATGGTTGATCTCAGATCACATCGAGTCAGGAAGGTAAGCATCGAGGGGTGCGAAGTCGATAAGGTCATTCCCTACATGAGCTTTTACCGAAAAAGGCTTTCGCCCCGCTTTATAAATAAAGCAAACCGTCAAGAGCACACATACACGGACTAGTCCAGCACACACACACCCAAGTCACAGAACAAGAAGTACAAAGGTTCTGCTGAGGGCACAGCTCAACAAGCCCAGCTACATGAGCTTTTACACTCCACGTACTAGCCTAGAGCGGGCGCAGCAGCTTTTTCAAAAGGGCTCCAAGGCCATGGTGGAACGAGACTTCGTCGACGTCGTATGCTGCCTCCGCCGTGCCCATGACATCAGGTGATGATTCGTTCGTTCCACCCGCCCGATAGGAGTTCTATTTTGATGCTATTGAAACTTGTTCCTCATAATGTGTACAAGCACTAGGCTGTAGCTACAAGAGGAAACAAAATGATGCACATAGTTAGCACCTTATTGATGGACGTGATTGTGCAGTTAGTTTTCATTTTGCTATTCTATATCAGATTGCACTATCTTTCATGGCCTTACATTATGCCCTTAAGGCCGTAACAATGATAAGCTGACAATTTGACACCTATCTCGGAAGTTGATATTCAAAGAATGTGTGTTGTTATCCTGTTACCCCATATGGTCATATACACTAGAATATATTACTATTATCTACCTATGCAGTTTATATTATCATACTCATTACACTATACAAATACAACATTTTCTCATCCTCTGTTCATACCTGTTGAAGACTTTACATGGTAAGCTGCTAATCATTAATGTACTCCTAAATTTCGAAGTTAATGGTCTTGGTCTGAGACTCGAAAATATTTGGAATTATCTGTTGATTCTCATCATCATTATATAGGAGAAAATTCATCAAAGTGTTTTTTTTTACTTTAGGGCCTGGATTGGGTGTATTTTTTTGTGTAATCCCCAGTATGTAGCTCAACCTTGAAATAAAACACCAAGGAGCTTGCAAAAATTACACTCAATCAAAGAGCAATGCAATTTTTTGCTATAAATAGTAGATGCTCTACGGCAAATTTGGTTCTTTCGCCTTTAGTTGTCCAAATAGCATGCTTTGAATGAGTTGCTTCTTTTACAATAATACTACACATTATTATTTTTGAAATTTTGTGTTACTGAAATTACATAATAACATCAGCAATTGACATTTACACCAGAATTCTATCAGGTTTACATCTCAGTTCACCAATATATTGATTAATGATGATCACCTTATATCGGTTGAGTTGGCTCATACATATGTCATCCAGCCATGGCAAATACTGATAATAGTCATTGCCTCATTGGTTAGGTCAAAACTCAAATAGCAAATATCAGGAGGATAGGAACCATGAAAGTGACAAAGATGATGACATGGTAGGAGATGAAAATTATTCTGATTTGGATCTGGCATGGAAAATGCTGGAGAATGCAAGGGCAATAGTTGAGAAGAGCCCAAACCTCACTATGAAGAAGGTTAAGGTCTTCTCTGCTCTGGCTGCAGTCCATGGAAAGAGACAGTCTCAATTATCTTACACTATAGTTACTGTCCTTAATTTAGTTGACTAATGGTCTTGATACTCATGGCCCCACATCTGGTTTGCGGAAGACATAGACAACTCACTCGATGACTATTTCAAAGCTTTAGCCATCTTGGATAATTTGGTTGACCCAGATAATCGTCCGATTGTTACACTGTATCCTCCTGGTGGTAATACTAGTATCAATTGTCTTATCATATAGTGTTATAAAACAGCTTACTGGCAACTCAAGTGCTGCAGTGCTTGCATCCTTCTAAGGTTTTACGTGTATATTTTAGTCTGTTAAACTGAATTTTATGGCTAAAAGGGGTGCTTTTAATATTGTACCCATCCGTGATTCAGGTAATTTGAGTTGATTCGTATCTTGGACAGGTACCTTCATTTATGTATATGTACCTGTACATGTAGTTACGGTGTTAAACTCTGGTTATATCATAGAAAAAGGATCAGTTATATAATGTTGTTATCTTTCATATTTCGGTTATTCTTCCTTTTAATTTCCTTGATTCAATCATGGAAACTGAAGGATGTGTTCTGTCTCTGAACTGGCATTCAAGATTGGTGATGCGATTCCATATTGTGCAAAGTCTTTTTCGTTATGTAAATCACATACAGTATGCTAAACCTGAGAATGGCCAAGGGTGATAATGGTGATAATGCATCTTCTGCTAAAGGAGGTTCAGGGAAATCTGCTTTAAAAGATGTGATGGAGTTGCTTACCGACATATTAACTGAACTTGAGATGAAGGTAAATGGTATTGATTTTGTTCATGTTATTGTTACCGACTTGGTTTCAGCTGGAAGACCTGGAGCATGAAATGACATCATTGAATTGTTTTAATTCAGCTTGAAGACCTGGAGCAAGAAATGACAACACCAAGCTCTTTTACAAGTGAGGTTTTGATTGCCTCAAAGGCAAGTGGAGGCCAGAGCGCTGGCAATTTCAAGTCAAGAGCTGCATCTTCTCCAACTAAATCTTACCGCAGCAGCAACTGCAAGTACTAGGTGGCTGAAAGTAATGTAACTGACCTTGGGTTATAAGCAGAAGCATAAAACTATGTTTTTGTTGAATTTAAACCTGATGCTTGATTCAGGATGCTAGTTTTCTGTTAAAAGGGAATCTGGTCCCAGGTGTAGTTCAGTAATTAAACGCTCGTTTGTGGTGCTTATAATCCAACAGGACGTCACCGTTGAGCCCTATCTGGTGCGTATTTTGGAGATCTCTGATCTTGTGTCAAGTATGAAGGTTATGAAGTTAAGGATGGTGCTTTGGTCAGAGAGTGAGGCTATACTTGGGAACATGTTGACATGATGCTTCAGAAGTATCCTGAACTCTTTCAAACAGGTATGTGCTAGATCTCATTACTATTAAGTGTTTTCTGCTATTAGTTTGTTGGTGTGAGTAGATGAATTTGGGACTGTGTTCCTTAAAGGAGGGGTGACTGTAATATCTGGACTAGCTATTTAAGGAGCAAGGAAGGAAAAAAAGGAGGAACACCATACATATTCAGTGCTGAACTGTTGATTTGTGCCCGAGGGCTGTCCAATGATGGGCATTTATACGGATACATGTAAAAGGTCTTCTGTAGGTCTCATTGCTTCTTTCAAAGTAGAAACCCTTCCACTGTTCCAAGTTCCAACATGACTTGTTTTCATTGTTCCTGTATCTGACTTAATATAAGTGATGCTTGTATCTTTGTTGATGCTGTGCTAATAACATTCTGGATGACTTCTTACTGCAGAAAATGGATCGAGAGAAGCCCATGAGAGCAAGTTTCGTCTACCCTTAGCGTAATAAGTCAGAAAGGGTTGTGGCCTGAAGGTTGTCAACGGGATCTTCAGATGCTATGTTTATCCTTTTTGCCCTGGTTTACTTACTGCACATGGGCATGTACTTCTGTTGGGATAGTGGATGCTGATTTCACTGAACTGTTTGTTTCATAGTTTCAAGTATGGACGTGAGATGAACTATATATATATATATATATATATATATATATTGCCTTGTCATGGCAGTTGACACTTAGGACCCATCCTTTTGTACGAATGATATCACTCGTCCTTTTAATTTTCTGTGTTGCATATTTGAACGGCAAAGTATGTGCACCATTTGCTTGCGAGCTATCTCGATTATTGTTGGGTTAGGTTTTTTTTAGGCAAGATTTTATTGTTTCCGTCTTCTGCCCCTAGAGAGTGCACCCAGCTCACTATTGGGTTGAGACTGAGAAGGGGATTCTGTTTTTCCTTTGTCATGATGGTGCAACTTGTTTGTGGAACTATTTGTGCAGCCACTTCACAGGCTGTGAGATAGAGATGGTTGTTGGAGTGATTTCAGTACCATGTATAGTGTTGTTCAGTTAGATCTTCAAGGATACTTCAGCTGGAAGCTCCTATTCTGCTCTCAATTTCCATGTGGATTTTATTAAGAATGGTCCATGTTTGTGACGAGCATATGCCATAGGTGCTTGAACAAAGAGTGGAAAAGCTCCCATATTTCAGTACCATGTCTAGTACACCCTCTGTTCCAAATATAAGACGTCTTGGCAGTTTTAGAAAACAGGTAGTAGTTTGCTAGGTTTGCATCAGTTTTAACATCTTCCATATTATTACTGTCAGTAGCTTGCGTGCCTTCACTGGAGGAAGTTAAGAGGAATTTTTGTAATGGTCTTCTGTTGGAACCTGTCGACAAATTTTGCTACACACCGGGATCTTGAGCGCTGGAATGGAACAAGTGTGTCAGGTCAGTACAATATCCCTTTTGTTTCATACTACCAAATAACAATATTCTGCTGTCGGAAAAAAAAGGTTATAGTCTTGTAGATCCAACTGCAAAATTGTTCTTCACTTGTTTACTGGGGTATATGTACATACATCTATTTACACATTGCATCACATGAAGATTTACCAAAAAGGGGTGCATATATATACATCAAGAAGACATCACTTCTCACTAGCTAAAATATAGCCATTGACTGGCCAAGACCCGTGCAAACCATGGCGATGCCACTCTGGTTGCTGCGTGGCATTACCACAGAGCTAAGGACGGCTCTCTCCACCTCCTCTGAAGGCTTTCTTTTAAGCAAGCATATCACATACGCCATCACCGCCGCGTTGCAAGGTACCGTGATCCTGTCTTCACTCGTGAACCCGAACTCGTCCTCCGACATCCTCAGGAGTTCCCCGAACACCGTTGTACTGAGGTACGCCAGCGGGACCTCGAACCGCTCTCCACCGGTGGTGTAGACAACGCAGTGGCCCTTGTCTGCGATGGCCGATGCGCCCCGCAGGTTGGCGTCGTGGATCGGCCCCATCGTCGCTGGCCTCCGCTTCCTGAGGGCTGCCATCTGCTGCCACTTCTTTGCCTGCTGAACTAGGCTCCTAGGACTTATCATGGTGTATTTTTTCTGATGAGATGCCCTTTTGCATAAATGTGTGTTGGTACTTGATGTTTTTGGCTGGTATGAAGACGCTTGTGTGCTAGTTCCATGTATTTATAGGATAGCAAGGGAACACTGCAGCCTTATGTTTGTCCTATGGCTATGGGTGTGTAACCATCGGTATGACTAGTTGCCAGAGACAAAGTCTTGGTGTTATCCTCCGAGGTAGCTACTTGCTCTGCATGATTGAGCCTGATACCCGCTTTTCTTCCTAGTCTGCACTTTTGGTCCACTCTAGTTATCCTTTTCTTGGTCCAGTCTATGTCAGTCTTATTCTCCCATTATGGCAGTCTACCTCATGCTGCTTGGTTTTACATTCGTAACTGGTTGCATTGGTTCTGAATCTTCTGATTACCAGATGTTTACTTCAGTGAGCTTGTTTGTTTGTATACGTTTTCTTCTAACGTTGTTTTCAGAACAACGATCTACTCTTGACCAATAAACATGCTAGCACATGGTTCCAACCGGTGCATAATTCAATTTGTTTATTTGTAGTACAAAGCCTTGGCCATTTCTCTAGGCTAATTCAACGTGTTGATGTGAGATATAGGAAAGTGAACCAATAAAAACACTGTTTATTGAACCAACTGATCTTAGTGTTTTACTGGATTTATAAATCTGAGGGCTTGTCCACTAATCAGATTCCATTTTTTGGGACACTCATTTGTAACTAGTGTCTAGTGCATAATCCGCTTCGTTTCTAGTACCAGATTCCCTGCGATGTGCAGTCCGCAGGTTCTATCTGTGTTTATCTCGCTTTCTTAATCACTTCCTTACTTTCTGCCATAGCTATAATCTCAGCAACTGCTTCCTCCAGATTCCATGTGTTCTACATCAATGGTTTCTTCCTCCATTTTTCTTCTCCCGGTGGACCATTCAAGCCATTTATTTAGCTTTCTTTTGTAAACATTGTTTTCTAATTCAGTCAAAATCCAGCTGCCATAGTACCTTTTTAAGCCAGCAAACGTCGACGTTTTCCCAAAAGTCTTTGTAGACCTCTTTCCAATGGAAAATCTTTTTTGTGTAATTCCAAATGTGAAGCAAGTCTCCATATCTTATTGGTGAAACTGAATACTTGAAATTGAGATCAATTCTAGGCCACTTCATGACTGTCTAAAAAAAGATTCATTCCAGTGGTCAGATGCTCAAATTGGGGCCTTCACAACATTGAGGAATTGTCTGGTCACTGCTCCTGTTATGGCTTTGCCTGATTTGACCCTACCATTTACTTTTTAAACAGATGCATCAGGTCAAGGTATTGGTTCTGTCCTCATGCAACAAGGCAGACCAATTGCTTATTTCAGTAAAACCCTGGGAAAAGAAAAGGGAACTTCACCTCTTCCTATAGAGCAGGATCTTGCATAAGTCTTTCAAATTCAAGGGTTCCGCTTTTTTTCTTCTAAATTGACCCACTTACAAAAATCCTAGGACTATAGGGAATATAGATACCTATACTAGTGCTCTGTGAAGTAAAGTGGAGGAAGGGATTCCAAAACTTCCTGTTTACCAGTTCAGTCATAATTAAACCTTCCATTTTCTATTTTAGAACTTTGGGTTTCAAAGACTTCTCCCACAATAGAGGCTTTCTTCTTTTTGAGCAGAAAGAATGAATGCAGTATCGACAGAATGGTATCTATCTTCTTAATATTCGTTTTCCAGGGGAATGAGCCAACCCACACAAGAGGAATAGCTAGGATTTCCAGAAGAAGATGCAATTCGTCTGATGAGAAATAAAAAGGAATATCGAGAATTCGCGTGGCTGAAGTTGAAGCAGCTACTTTCGAAGTAACAGAAAGAAAAGCAGCGATCAGAGTGGGGGAGTCAGAGTCGAAAAGAGGATTCCTCGCTCCGCTTGCCCTCTGGCACAGATGTGGGAAAAGGTCTCAGTTGCGGAATCAAATATGAATGAAGTTAGAACAATCAGCGTAAGCTCTTTCTCTAGGGCCACTGTCCTTCATGCTGGATCCTCTACTATTCTATGTTCTCTCCGAAAGCGTGCCAATCCCTATGTTGTGTGGAGCTGAGCATCTTCTATTCGCTGGGATCAAGCTTTTCCTCTGCAGGGGCCTTGTGCTCCGTGTTTTTTTCCTTAAACAGAACTCTATGTTTATGAGATTTATTTGTGGTCATCGCCGACAGTATTTTCATTTATTGAGTACCTATGTTGAAGAGTCAATTAACATGCTTTTATTTGCTTAGCTAGTGCTGGAGTAATAAGCAACTTTATGATCTTTCAAACAAGACCGTTTCATAAGTGTAGCTGCAAGCTGCTGCTGTACAATGTATGACACGAGAACCGCATGGATGATAGATCATGAAACTATGCATGGCAATTTTTATCTGTTTTCCGTATGAAAAAGAGAAGCTCTAAAACTATGTATGCTGTGCTATTTATTTTCTGTGGTAAAGGTGCGTTTGCAACTTGCAGGCAGTGGATGTTATTGTATTATCAGAAAGTTATGTTATTCAGAGGCGCAGAAGGGGGCAGAATTAGCTTAACAAAGGGCTCATGTGTATTCTTGAGCAACCAAAGAGCTAATCCGGAATTAATAGTGCCCGGGTTAGATAGCATGATATTGATATGATATACTTTAATCTTTCTTTTGTACAGTTCACATGAAGTCGTATTTTGTTATGAGGTTTAACAAATAAAAGCAATGTTTGTTTAACCTACTGCTTGTAGTTTTAAGCCATTTTTAGTTCCAGATTCCCTGTGGTCTGCATTCCACAGATTATTCCTGGGTTTATCATGTTTTCTTAATCTCCAGCAAATATGTGGTCTGCATCAATGGTTTCTTCCTCCATTTTAGTACTTCTCTAGATGGACCACTTGAGCCTCCGTGTGCCCATTTATTTGGTTGAAATGTAGCTTTCTTTAGACATTGTTTTCTTGATCCAGTCAAACTCCAGCAGCTACTTCCTATCTCACAAGAGTTACCTGTTCATTTCCTCGAAAAAGAGTTTATTGAACACATGCTTGATTTTGTATCCACTTTGAATAGTCAATTAACATGCGTGTATATTCTTAGCTGGTATTGTATATTGCCTGACTAATAAACAGCTTAATGATATTTCTAACAGGAACACGTCAGAAGTGTAGCTGCTGATGTGCCATGTATAATAACAACATAAGAGAATTGCATGGATAATAAATCATGAAACGGTGGAAAATTTGGGTTGGCTGTCAATTGGCTCGAAATGATTACGTCGTTACGAGAAACTGCTGAAATCTTTTGGCCCCAGACATTTTTTATATTTTGACCCATTCCTTAACACAGATCAAGTGAGACGGAAATCTTGTTATTCCTTGCCATGATGGTGATACTTGTTTGCGGAACCATTTTCACAGCCACTGCACAGGCTGTGTGATAGAAACGCTAGTCGCAATGATTTCATACTTTCAGTAGCATGTCTAGCCTAAAGGTTTGTTCAGTTAGCACTTTAAGGATACTTCAGCTGGAGTGAACCAGATAACTTGGTAATACAGTAGAAAAGAGCATGATTTCTGTATATGTTCCCAAAAATCTCAACACAGAAGAAAGAGAATTATTTTCTTTGGGCGTTTCACATGGCACGGTTCGAGAGAGATTGAGAACAGAGGTCAGAGATGGACAGATTGTTGTGGTTGCAATGCTTAATTCCAATGTTAAGTGTGATTATGCCTCACAGATGTAGCTTATAAATTAATCAAATTTACACATGTTTAGTTGGCATTCATGCTTTCTTTCTTTTTGTTGGTTTGCCGGTCATATCGTGACAATAAATGTAACTACTAAAGAATAAATAAAAATGTGAAGCAAAGTTGATCAAGCAGGCACTGATCAACAACTACTATCTTGCAAATTCATACTTTCAATATTTATCTCATGAAGTTTGGAAAATAGCTATCCCGTGTAGCAGCATGGGTTGATGAGTAGTAGTTCCCAATATTACAGTGTCCAAATGAACAGGCGCAGCAACGCGCGCCTTCAATCCTCTAGTACATAAGCGTTAATTAGCTAGTGATTTGTGTATAGCCCTGTGCTCATTAATGTAGTACAATCCATTATCAGTTGATCTCAATAATCGTATCATTGCTTGGACACAGGGCGGAGCTTCATGGGGCCATGGGGGTCATTGCCCCCCTCCCACTACTCTAGAAAAACTCTTAGGCTGGTCATAGTGGGGGTAACTTAAATAATAACTGTCTAGATCAGCAATTTTGCTTACGTGGCACTGAATTAATGAAGAGAGAGTAACTTAGAGTAACCTATTTGGTTACCGTAACATAGCGCACATCATGAGATGTCTTTAACGCCAAATCGATCCAGTGTTGCTGCGTCACTTAAAAAAAAAAGAGCTCGTCCCTTTCCTCTGCGGTCGAGGCCTCCATCCATCTCCCGGAACCGGATCCTCTAACATTAAGAAGGAAAGTTAGAGAAGCTACAATCCCCTAACTTTCCTTCTTGCAATCCATATGAATAAGGCTAAAATAATTTAAATTAATATACAAATTACAGATTTAATGTGTAAATCTATAATCATTACATACAAACAATTTGATGATGAAATAAAATTAACTATAGATTATTTATATCTAAAGTAAATATCAATAGTAAATAATCCGCTAAACGTCTCTAACATTCCTTCTTCATTTTACACTATGATTACACTGTAGCATTGTGGCTTTACTTCTCTAAGTTAGAGGATCCGCCTCCCCATCTCCCTCCCGGCCGCCTCCATCTACCCTCGCCTCCCTCTCTGTCTCGTCGGCCAACGGCAGCTCCGGGCGGCGGCGGCTCCAACCGGGGAGCCACCCGAATCATGGCTAAATCTGGTGCCCGCAAGGAGGCAGCGTCAGCCCGGTCGTCGGCGACCTCGCCACCACATCACTTCGCCGGCGCCCCGGCAAGCTCGCATGCCAACCCCTCGCCACAGCCGCTCATCTACCCCGGCGCCTCGACGAGCTCCTGATTCAGCAGTTGTACTTCTCTAGATGGACCACTCGAGCCTCCGTGTGCCCATTTATTTGGTTGAAATGTAGCTTTCTTTAGACATTGTTTTC